CTACCCCCTCACTATCCTATGGACCGTTTCCAGATAAAAAAAGGTATAAGACCAGTAATTTTCTTTTAATTTCATGACAACTTCATCAAGAACCACGTTTTTGCATACTTCTCATCTCGATATTAGCACTTTTACATGTTTTTAGTTTCGATGGATCAAAATCAGCTCCAATTGGTAATTCAACAAAATCCTGAGAAATAACTGATTTTTCTGCTGCTCTTACTTGTTTGTTCTTTCCGCAGTATTGATGGACGGTTTAATGTTTTTGAAGCTACAGCCATTCGAAATTGGATGATCTACAAAAACCACACAAATACTGATTCCATTCAATTCTTTAGAAGTCTAACTTTAATCGCAAATTTTCAAAATTTTCTATGATATAATTAAATGAGGAAGATCGAGTAAGTTTCCATTAAACTGAAAGAAATAATTCAAAAAAATTTACTTGTTTTTGAGTGATTTCTAGAACATCGTTTGCCAATTCGACCTGATCGCGATAACTGTCAATGCCTCCGGCCGAACTTTCGATTGTAAAATTTACCTTGATGAATGATAAATTGTATTGTTTAAACTGCAATGTAATCATGAATTTCTGAACGCCCCAAAAGTTAAGGTAAAGAATACCTGACCCTTTTCGATAATTGCTGCTTGTATGAAATGATTGAGCATAGTTTTACTTGCAATGGGATACTCATTCACTTCACTAAAACAGCACACTTCATCCGGGAAACTTCGAGTTCTCTAGTTTGATACCCTACTGATTTTATAGCATTATTTAATACTTGATGGAATTATCGATTAATTTCGGGAATCGGTGTACCATACAAATTCTTTTTGAAGGCTACCATTACGCTAAAATTCTAACGATTATGACTAATTATCACGAAGATTATTCGAATTTAATGCCACTATGAGCAGACGGAGTGCCATTTCTGGACCCGTAATGATTGTCCAACTAGACGAGTATCGGTAAACACACCGTATTATATCTCCTGGACGCAGATGTAAGGATGAGAGACTGTCAACAGCTGTAGCGTTTACTTGAATTCTTTCTTTTGCATCATATTTCACGGATAATCCGAGTACTTCACTCACGTCAATCATATCATTAATACGTAGCGCCATTTGCACCTGTAAAATTAAAGCTTTATCACTTAACAGATGCAATATTTTCCTAGGATTTTCTATTTTTGCTACTTATTTAAATAAAAAATTGTTCGAAATTTGCCTTAGAGAAGCGGATTTCAAGAAATGAAGTGAAAAATTAATTTTTCGCTTTGAATAGATCGATCAATACAGGATCTTTTTCAAAATAATTTACAAAAAGTAATTAGATTCAGAATATGTCGCAGGGTGTCCTCAAAATTTTTTAATTTTTTTATTATACTTATTAAAAGGAAGATCTTCTGAAATCTGTCGTATTTTCTATTCAATCCATTGCAATATGATCTCTTTCTGAAATATTTTCTAACCAGTTTTATCAGAAGAGCGAAATTTCACGACGGCTTTATTTTAGAGGACCCTTGAGAATTGATTTAATTTATTTAAGATTTCTTTTTGATTACGGAAAATTAGTTTTCTTGCCAGATATTGATCAATTGCTTGTCCGGTGCATTTCATTTCTCGACCGCGTTCTACGCTTATCTTTTCCACAAATGTCCTTTTGTGTTTGCATTTTGAATAGCATGTACGTTTGAATACGACAGCTACCATCTAAATGTAATTAGCAAATTAGAAGTCTTTAAGCGATTTAATTTCAGTTGAAAAATTTTAGAAACAAGCGTCTTAGTTCATGATCAATCAAAAGATTGAGAATTCATGCAAAACCTGAAATTACTTAGTAGATTTATTGAAGTATTGGGGTATTTATTCTAATTTTTGGTAGGATTGTGTTAATTAATTGTAGGATTTTTTAAATTACGTACAGAAGAAATTTTCATTAACTGTTCGGGAATTGAATTTAACGACGCTTTAATGAAATTACTGAAAAGAGTCAATTTCACCAGTGAAGGTTTTTTAAGCACACTGTTGAGCTCATTGATAGCACTAATTTTGTACCCATCGACAGCTACGATAACATCACCAACAAATACTCGTCCCACTGATGCTCCGGATTTCTCGACATATGTCACCTTAAATGGAAGTTTAGATGTGTTTCATTTGAACTAGACAGTGATATTCGATTTCCGACGGATATAGTCATATTCTAACCTATTCACTAGAAGAAGGTGTTTTGGAAATTCTGAAATAAAAATAACTATGAACATGGTGAATTGAAGATTAGTATTTTAATCAAACAAAGTTGTTTAAATTGCAGAATAAATTTCAACCTGTAGAGTATTTTTGCAGATTCGCAACCCAAGTGGCTTCTTGAGTAATACAGTATCCTAAAATGCAGCTTAATTAGACCTAAAAATAACTTAACTGGTTGAGTTGAAATTAGCAGGTTAAGAAATGTTTCAATATATTTTATGCAAAATTTTCAGATGATTCCAGGAGTAAGATAATAAGCGTACATGACGTTTCCGAAGCTTAATTCCTTTCTAGACTCATAAGACAGCTTTGGGCTAAATTTGAATAGATTTGGCCAAAAAAATTTGCAGTCATAGTTGCTTGTTTTGATAGAATGGTGACTGAGTGGAAAAGGATTATATCCGCTAGCAAAAAAGGATTGAAACTGATGCATGGTGATTGAAAGAGAATGTAGTCAAATGACAGAGTATGTTCTGGCTTCTTTCCATTTGCTAGGCTTTCCAAATGCATCTCGTCAAAGGTAACGCTCTTACTAACAATTACAACTTGACTGATTGTAAAAAGAACAGAAGTGGGAGTGGATTTCCTTAATTAGACTAATCTGCTCTTGAACAAGTAATTTTACTAAGGCGAACGAATCCAATTGCTCCAGAAATCCCCGGGCCACCTATATAAAGTTACCAATAAAATTGCACTTGGTAGCCTAATAGGTGATAAAAGAAAAAAAACCGAAGATTCGTTTTGGACTTCTAAATTGTCATGGAATTAAATAATCCATTTAACCTGGAATGGTTCCAGTGGTGGTGGGTGAACGACAGGTTGCTGTTGAAGTTGTTGGCGATCTTCCGGTGTTTCCTTAGTGGACGAAGCATCTTCTGAACTTCCGTTTCTTTTCTTTTTCTCTCTACTACGCATCTGCCGTCCTACAAGTTTATGGTGGTAATTTCAAACGAATCCCCTTCTGGAGTCAGACCAGTGAAGTGTTGGTAGCAAAGGTTTATGAGATTGTTTGACCGATTTCTATCATTATATATTATTATCACGAAGATGTTGCATGCAAAATTTTTCAAGATATGCAAATAACTGATTAGCAGAACTGAGAATGAGCTTGTCTGCTTGATCTAACCAGTCGATTTCTCACATAAGTCTCTCCACTTGTAAACTAACACTTCGGTCAGATGTAGAGGAATAAATTACGAATTTCAAACCATGGACAAAACATTTCCAAATTTTATTAACTCACTATGACGTGTCGTTTGATTAGTCCTGCAGATATGCCGTTACGGAGAATGGAAGTAGTGGAGTTTGAAAACGAGATTATTAGCAATCCTGCTCAGATAACGTATTTGAACCCAAGATTACTTTTTTCTTAACTGATTAGCTTAAAATCAATGAACTGATTACTCTCATTCATTTTTATTTATCAACTTATTGTTGTATATAATGCTTACTATTGTATATTATCCTTTTCAAACAATCTATATTTCCTCTTCTTCAGCTATTAATAAAATATTATATTCGTTTATTGTTGTCTCCAACAATCAAAATTGTCTTACTCTGATTTGAGCTGTAATAACTTTATTTGCTCGCTGAATTATCAAACTTTCAAATAAAGTGCGCAAATTCATTTTGCTATTGTCATTAGTATTTTGAATAAAATGAAAATTTTTGTGCAGGGTAATGTTTCTAATAAGAAGGAATACAAAAGTTGCATAAATAATAATTTCCTTCTATTTGATTGAATTAAAAATATTGCTTCATCCGATACATTTACACATAAGCTTTAAGAAAATTTTAAAAATTTCATACTATTTTTTGCAAAAGTATCAACTGGTAATTCAATTTTCTCTGCTGCATAGATGTCATTTTAATTATTTCATTTTACTTTTAAACAAGTTTTCAATTGCTTTCAATACATTCTACTTTGTTAAGTAAGCTAAGGGTGACAATTGACATTATTGAACAGTGTAGCAGAGAGAATTTATCTTGGAAATGTTACAAAAAAAAAGCGTGGACATCATTGAGTCTTGGTTTCTTTTCAACACCAGCGTCGACCTTGTGACAGCAGCAGTAATGATAAGAAAAGGCGCTATCATTACTCCCCATAGCTCTCAAAATGTTTGTTCAACACAAGCAGGGGATTACTCGGAGTGCGCTATATACCATTTGTTCTCACAATGCTTCCGCCGCATCATTCTACTCTGATTTCCCATTTTAATTCGTTTCTCACTGATTTTAGATTTCACCGTTATAGGTAATACCAAAGGAAGGGATTGACCTTTGAACCGTAATCTAATAAATATTGCTTTTTTGTAGGTATGATCCAAATTAATTATTGATTTTCAAAAAGAAAATACTGAAAATGCCAATCAGTTATAACATGATATTTATTTGATCAGCTTCAGGGAGCATATTTAGCGCAACAACTGATTTTGATGTAAGAACGTCATCTTTTCAAGCTAGCCATTCCTGTATAGTTGCATAGTTTCACAGAGAAGCACATCATGAAATGGTTACGGAATAGTCACTGTTTGGAAAGTTGTTGACATTTATTGCCAAATTAGGAAACAGATCTTTGCATTTTATATTGCTGGAGTCTTCAACTCTAGTGATCTTATCACCGAGGTCCCACCCTCTTTTACGTATTGATAGATTATTAAGTTAGTTATCAGTGTAATAGTACTCCAAAGAAATTATTTCACCTCGTTTATTTTACCTTAAAATATCCGGTTTCGCATTCTGCAGCGAAAAATTAGTACTAATCAAATCAAAATAGCCGTCAAGAAAGAAGACATTATTGCTTTATAACATGACATATCTATATCTAATATGAATGTTGAACTGACTCGCTTGACTTTTTTGAGTCGCAATTTTAGCGATGATAATCATCGCGTATAAAAAATTGTCCTTTTCATTATACCATATCACAGATGTTGGTCTCGATACACCATACTATTTTTTATCAAGCGGTAGCTAAAAAAGATATTATTATAACGTCTTAACCACAGCAAGAGGATAATCTTTTCAGGATGGCGTCATTGATAGGTCGAAGAGGATTACATTTGTTAAGTCGTAGGATGTTGTTCAATTCAGTGGGTACGTATCTTTTTGCCATTGAATTGTGTGAAATAATCTTTTTTAGAGAGTATTTCAGAATTTCTCGAGTGAAAAACCTTAAAGATTTGTGGTACTTTAAATATTTTGGTAATTTTTTATATTTGAAGTGTAAATGTTATAAAGGATATTTGAGAGGAATTGTACGCCATTAATGCAGCTGCTATCCCCGAATATATCCACAAAGTGAGTGTATCAAATACAGCAGGTAAGCGAAAAAAAAGAGTCCCAAACTTGAAATTAATGGAAAGTCCTGAGGAGGTCTTGATAGCTATCAGGTTGTAACCCCGAAATTCTTCTTGTGCTTGCCATGCCATCATCTCCCGGACAACAGTGAGTTCGAAGTAGACGACGATAACTGCTGATGAGAGAGTGCACCAGTGAACCATTCCTTCCGGGTTAGCACCCGCATTTTGTCATCAACTTTTAGAGCAGTTATCCTTCATTTCTACAGCCTGCTGCTGCTACTTCACTGCTTTTTTTCATCTTCCTCACCAACCAGTTCGAGAGTAAGGAAGAACAGTGGGGAAGTAGGAGAAAGAACAGATAAAAAGGATGATAGAAGGAGAAGAGGCAAAGGTTGAGTAGAAGACACTTATACACTGCTGCCACGGTAAATACTGGTATGCGCCTGGAAAAGATTGATAGCCCTGAGACAGGGAAGTCCCTTGTCTCATCTTCCTTACATGCTAATCTCTGACAGTTCACTGGGGTCTTGATGCACGGTATGATGTAAGAGTTGCCGAATCCCATTCACTCTACCAATACTGTATTCAATGTTTGCTGTTATTAACTGCTGCAACATGAGAAATATTGATTATCGCAGTATTAACTATTACCATGCTAAATAGACGGTGATTGAACTGAATCCATAGAGGATTGGAGCCATAGACCTCTTCGGGAAGACTCATATGCAAAATGCGCTAAAATTGGGAAACTCATTCCAATATCCGGTTAAACCGTTACTGGAAGATGCACTGTGCTAGATGATGAGTGAATGATGATTTTTCCATTTTTGAGCGGTTGGTTTCCGATGTGCGATGTTTGAATTTCACGTTCTTTTTATTTTTTCAGCTCGGTTTCTTCCGCTTGTGCAGTTCAAATTGTCAGACATTGGTGAAGGCATTGCTGAAGTGCAAGTAAGCCATTAGCTTGGTAATAAATATGCAAATTGTGTTGGCACTGTTTTAAGATTGCTGTATATGTTTTAATTGTAAAATCAGCGCATTTTCTGATATTATCCTAATAGATGGCAAGATAATAAATAACCTAGAGTCAGGTAATAAAACATATTATGTAGTTTGTGGCTACGTTAGCAGCGCTTACTGTTCCTTATTGATCAGAGGTGAAAGAACCTAATCTTGGATACTTAATGGATGAAGCTTTGATATGTTTACTTACTGTTTGCGATATTTTGAACAAATTCATACTAATTATTTTTTAAAATGATCGGATGATTCGATTCCTAAAAACTCGTTCACTTCAAAACGTCCAAAAGTTAGCCTGGTCTCCGAGATGGTTGACGGATGATTTTTAGATTAAAGAATGGCATGTGAAAGAAGGTGATTATGTGGCACAGTTTGATAACATCTGCGAAATACAGAGTGATAAGGCATCAGTGACAATCACTAGCCGTTATGATGGTATTATCAAAAAATTGTGAGTTTGATTGTATTCTGGTTTTCTTAATTGTGAATTTTCGAAAACCGCTACTATAACAACCTTCCTGAAGTTTTGATTAGTGTTTGGTTTGAATAACTATCTTTCGGAATTGGAGACGTAATGATTGACTTCCCCCATATTAAACAATTTAGAGCTCAAAACAATTTGTTCTAGGTATTATAATGTTGATGATGTAGCAAAGGTGGGTACAACCCTTGTGGACATCGAAGTTGCAGACATCGGTAATGGTGTTTTATTTCTTTTTTCATAAGGATTTCCGTAACTCAACTGTTCACCAAGTTGCATTCAGCGGAGCTGGGAGGGATAAGAAATCATTTTTGTATTTTCCTATGCTAGCCAAAGTCAGATTGATGCCAATATCAAATTGATTGTTGGCCTCTTGAGTCACAGAAAATTGTGTATGTCCGGAACTGTTCTGTCGACTCAACTGATAGCGATT